CGTTAAATGGATTTGGATTCTTCTATCATGCATAGTCCCTTCAGATTAAACAGGACTGAGGACCCATGCGGAGAGCAAGCTAGAGTCCTCCCTAGCATGAATGATGCATTTAGCGTGTAAACCTACATGGTGGAGCCCACTGTGATTGGTCATAGGATTGAGTGTCAGTGATGGCGGGGGAAGTGAGCCAACTAGGCTAGCATTTGAGGGTTCGATTGTCTCAGCTAAAGAAATCTGATTCCTCTGGGTTCCTTAAGAGAATCCGCCTGGATTGGATTTCAAACGAGCCGGGACACAGAAGCTGTTTCCGGAAGATCCTCCACCAGATGGTTGGTTGCTGTGTCATTCTTTTAATCTGTGGTCTCTGATTATACAAGGTGGAGTCTCAGCCAAACAACTATTCATGCTCAAAGACACTCAATGACAGGAAGCACATGGTTGTTCCTTATAAAAATGGAATTAATTCTGAGCTTACTCTTTTGGCAGCCATGAATTTTGCTCTGTGATCTTTTGTGCTTCTCCTCAAGAAGTTTTTAATTTTGCTGCTCCTGACTTGTGTTGCTCTCCAATCTTTAAAAAGTCTTACATTCCTCAATTACATTTTTAAAACTGAAGGTCATAAAGGGTTTTAAAAAAATCGAGATTTTAACTTGTGATAGGTCTTGAAGTTTAGACGGCACTTTGACTGAGACTTGTGAATACTTTATCAAATCTACAGCCTCCTTTTCCCCTTGTATTTGTATAAGTATGCACAATGTTACTTGACTGAATGATGAATTACTAGTGTCTCCTTTAAGTTATGATCTTGAGATATAGCATCATTCTTCCTTGCTTGTAGGAATGATGCACTTAAAACAAACATTTCTACGCATTACTATCACTGGGGTCTTACCTGACCTTCAGGAGATGAGTTTCTGTAGTGTTGTTAGTGTTTTTTATTATCCTTCCTTTGTGGATTTGCTTGTTCACTTGACAGTTTACAGCAGTGTATTACTGAAGCATTCGCAAACTATGAACAGAAGACAGACAAAGAGACGTGGAAATGCAAGTTCAGAGAATTTTGGCTTCAAAATGAAAATTACAGGAAATGGTTGGTGGTAGGGATGTGCCGGTTTAGCCGACTAAACAGTCAACCATCATCAGCCTTGCTCATCAGCACCGGGCTAACTACTTGGTCACATCATTTATAAATATTTTTATATGTTGTACCGATGCCGGTCACATGTTCAAACTTTTACTAGTCGGGGCTGTTGCTCACTTTAATGAGCATGCTCTCCCAGCTCTATTACCCGGATGTAAACAAGCAGAGTGAACGGATAGCATCACATACAGTAGGAGTGGAGCAGTTTGGCAGTGTTTTGATCGAGAAAAATGAGATTAAATAGTTTATTGCTATCCATATTGCTGGTTAAACTGAAGCAATGTGTAAACTTATTTAACACATGACATGTGGATGTTTACCTGTTGAGTCGGGCAATGATAGCACTGCTAACTTTAGCCACACTCGGCAAAACAAATAATAGACAATAACAATAGACAATAAGGGTGCTCAATTTTGACCATCTTCTGAGTGTTTTCTCACCTTTCAACTAGTCTCTTAGTCTGGATTTAAATGGCTGTTTAATCATTAAGAAATGGGTCATCTACTGTAGCATCATCCCTAGTTGGTAGGGACAAACAACAACTAGAAAGTGACTTGTAAGATATGCAAAAAAGGGTTTAAACTTTGGAGAATGAGAATCCAAGTTGTGCAGTCTCACATGAAATACAACAAGCACTGAAGCTGCTCGGTGCAAATATTGTATAACCTTTTTTTTTTTGTTGGGTCTTAAAAAGTCTCTTTCATTTTGAAACGTGTGCAGCAACCCTGAAGTTCTTTCAGTTATTTGGCATGGACCTTTGGCTCTGCTGCTTCACATTGTAGACTTGAACTCCTTATGAACTTCACATGACTAGAACTGGAACAAAACATTGTAATTACATTTACAGTTATCCAGAAAGTAATTATGTTTGGAGCCCTAACCGCCAGAGCAAAGAAATCACATTTTAACGGACCTTATAAGTGACAGTGTTGGCAGAACCCCATACAGTAAAAGTTGTTTTTGGTGTTTTAGTGTGGGAGCAGGGAAAATGAGCCCAGATTATTTTCCTTCTCTCATTATCACTTACTTAAACATGCTGAGTGGCGTTTTCCATCCAACCAATCAGAAAAACAGTGTTCAAAGCAGGTTCAGCCATTTAGCCACAGATGGCAGTCAACACAAGGTCAAGACCTTTGACCCCGCGGGCCACTCCAGATCAAGTGAGCCGCTCTGTAGTCGGACCGTGTTTTGAAATAAGAGGAGACTTAGTTTGGGACTTTTGGATGAAGCGTGTGAACTTCAGGGCCCCGACAGAAAACAGCCCTGCGGAGTATTTCCCAGGATACCTCTGTTAGATTTAAACACTTTCAAGTTTCAGGTTCTCTAAGTTGTAGTGCAACGCAAACACTTTTTAAGATCCACTCTACATTTTTCTATTATGTTATTTCCTGCCGATTGTAACAACGTGTAACACATTGATACAAGCGGTTACTGCATATGCAGCAGCATGGAAATAATCAGCGTTGAATGTCTTTTTTATGAATTCTCATTTTTTTTATAAATTACCCTGCCACTTTTCATATTGATTTGCAACTGAATAGTCCTTTAGCCCTCGGGCAACACATAACCTTTCCAGTCCTCGCCCCTCTCTTAGAGCCATTTGATTTTGTTCGAGAGCTTTAACACAGGTGTATTTATCATTTTAGTCATGTACCGTTTACACCGAAATCTCACAGAATTCATGGGACACAATGGGAGAGGGTGTGAAGCTCACAGAGAATAGGAGATGATATATAGGAGTGAAAACTAATTTCCAACCTGTCTGAAGAAAACTCTCTCCTCCCTCCCTCCCCCGGGCTGTGCTCTGCCTTCCCAACGACCTTATCATTGCATTATTATTATTTTTGCTGATCTTGATTTATTATGTTTATGCTCCTCCACTTCTGACTGTTAATCTGCGTCGGGAGTTAGGGCTAGGGTTAGAGGTTTTTGAAGGGTACAATGTTTGTTGTTCTTTATACGCAATGTATAAAAAGAGGAAGGGAGTGGGTGTGCGGGCTATGGGGGATGAGTTACAGAATGAGCTGTAATTCGTACCAGTGTAGGTGTGATTTGAAATATGATATTGTTTTTCCTGTATTTTCTCTGCATATTTTGCTTCCATTGGTACATGTTTTCTGCAGCAGGAAAAAAAAAACTGAATTATGACTCGACTTTACAGAGCAACCGAGGTCATTCACATAAAGCTAAAGCTGCATTACATTAGGCATCTATAACAATATAACTGTAATACATGGTTTTTGTATCCGCAGGAAAAAAGATTGGCTTCTGCAACTTTGGATCAATATCTATATGTTTTCATTATCTGGATGACAGGGAAGCCTGTATAAAATTCATCAAGCTAAATGGCATCATGTTTGTCAGGTTTATTTATGCGAGTGACTCAGCAGGAGGGTATTGAAATGTTTTATTGATCATTCAACTTGATTGGTTGCTTCATTGTTTAGCTACTGAAAGCTTTAGAGCTGCAGGAAACCCTGAATCCCCGAAGCCTTTGAACCATGTCATATCGGGTTTTGTGTGCATGAGGGCCTCTGTCCATTAATGGTGTTTTTAAAAAAAAAAATTTGCACTGGCAGCGCACAGGACCGAAATTTCAGAGAGCCTCTCACCACCGCTTACTGTTGCTAGGTTACAAAAGTTACAACACTTCCACTTCCCGCTTTATGTTTGGCATTAGCAGCAGCTCTAGTTGTCTAAAATGACAACTTATATCTCCTCCATCATTGATGTTGACAAAGTTGATATCATAAGTCCCGCCCGTGGGGGAGTACTGACATTGATGAGTGTGGTGGTGTTCCCGAAGTTGAATATGCTTTCAACTAAGAGCGCTGTCAGTGCTGTGACGTAAAACAGCTGATGCTGAGGTGATTTGTTTGCGCTTAGGATCCTGAAGTGCACGGTGTTGTACAGAAGAATTTAGCTGCCAGCAAAAATAAAGCATGCAGCGTTAATGGACACAAACCCTAATAGTCAGCACTGAAAAGGCATTTGAAATTTGTTTCGATCAAGATATTGTATTTAGATTTCTGTAAACTTACCTAACAATTGGCTTTGCTAAGCTTGGAAAACTATGGCGCAATTAATACTGTGAATCCAATCATAGGAGATGTCATATGGCAGGTATTCGTTTGTTTATGCCCGGTGTTAACGATGCGAGTGGGAGCCAAGTATGGACATCTGCCGGTGTAAAGTGTCAACCACAGTGGTCCATTTTTGCTGCAGGAGTTTGGTTCAGTTTGTTAATGATATATTTTCAATGGCCGTTGTTGAGTATGACAAGGTTGGTCACTTATAACAAAAGCATTGTCTCATAGTTAGCCACCATCAGCATTCTTGGCTCCAAGCACAAATCTACCACGTCTATATCGTTTTGCACATGTCTGCTAACTGCTAATTATGACATGGATGGCAATACCAATCAGTGAACAGTTTAAATAAATAGTTTTTTACATGATAAGAAGTAGTATTCAAACATTCTGCAGCTCAGTGCAGCACTAACATACGTGTCACGGCTGCACTAAGTTGATTCTCACACTGTGTTTATCACTGTTGTCAATCAGCCACCCCCTTTTCAGAAGCGGTCTCAACATTAGAATGAACTTCTTCTCTTCACTAGTTTTTCTTATGGTTATGAAGATTTATTTTTTTCGCTCAGATTTATGCAGATTGTTAATTAGACTCTTTACTTTGATATCACGTCTCTGATTTAAGATGTCAAGACACATTTCAAGAGGCTTTAAAAGCTTTGCACAGTTTAAAAAATGACACTTGACACTTGTTCTTTTTTTTATGATGTTTTAATGATACCTTTTGAATTCTAACTTTGTTGAATGATTGTTTTATTTATTTTTTTAGATCAATATTTCCAAATGGGCTTCCGAGTGAATACTCCTTTGTCACCATCCTGCGAGTGAGAAGAACTACAAAGAAAGACCGCTGGTATCTTTGGCAGATATTTGACCTTTCAGGGGGCACTCAGGTGAGCCACACTCTAAATACTAATGTCAGTTTTCTATGTTCAAGTAGGCGGGAAATATCAGGAGGTTTCTTTGGAATTAAACACTCTGTTTTTAAACTTTCTTTCCTCTTTAGGTGTCTGTTGTGGTTGATGGCGGAAAGAAAGCGGTGGAGTTCTCTGCCCAGGGCCAACTGAAGAACCCTCTACGCTACACATTTAAAAGCCGTGACCTACATGCCCTCTTTGATCGCCAGTGGCACAAGCTGAGCATTTCTGTGCAGAGCAACATCGTCTCCATTTACATGGACTGCAAGCTAATAGAAAGGAGACTGACCGACGAGAGGGACGGCATTGACCCCAGTGGGCGCACTCTCATCACTACACGAGTGGAGGATGGACGGCCTGTAGATGTATGCCCATTATCTGCACATAAAGATTAATTTAAACTGTTTTATTTAAAAATCAGTGACTTTTTGTCTTCGTCTCCAGTTTCAATCGATAGCATTTTAAATACGCAGAAGTTTCTGATTCTCAGTTTGAATGTTTTTTAAAAAGGTATTTAGAACGCGCTGCAGTGACATATTTTCTTAATCTGTGTAAATCCCCTATTTTGTCATATGTGTTACGCTCGTTCACACGGATGCCCCAAACATTAGGTCAGCTATGCCATTTGGTCACCCAACACCTCTAGAGTAGAACTGGGCTTACGAGGCATTAACAGCTGAGTCTTTAGTCCGTGTGATTTGTTAAAATGTAAGACAGTAAATCCAAAAAAAAAAGAAATGCCAGGGTTAGTTCTGCTGAAGCAGCTGCTGTGCATGCACCAGTTGACGCCTTTTCTTCAGTTTTATTTTTTTTGGTTTTAGGTGTGAAGTTTTTTCGAAACGGTTATGCTCGCAATGGGAAAAACAAAATAAGGCCCCGTGTCCACCGGGCGTTCTTTTCTGAGAGCCAAAGTCTTTTTTTCGTTCGCAGCAGAAAGCTGTAGCCTGGTCCGAACATTTGTGAGATGCTGAATTAGCCCTTAACGAGCTCTTTTTTTCCACAGGTTGAAGTGAGGCAGATTCTTATCTACTGTGACCCTTACATGGCTGAAATGGAAAACTGCTGTGAGCTTCTGGAGCCCAAGGTTAGTACCACTCTGTATCATGCTGGTTTTCAAACTTTGTACTGTAGGCTACACTTTGAAGTATGTGTTAGACAAGTCCTCCCTCATGAGGGTGTATTCTTTTTTTTGTAAAATCCAGCACTCCCCCGGCCCCTCAGCGTCTGTAACATACAACAACCTTGTATTTGAGAAACACTCCAGCTTTGTGCATCTTTTGGATAATTTCTCCATTTAAAAAAAAAAAAAGCGCAAAGCCTGACAAGGTTTCAAAAACAAGCAAAACATGTTCTTGCACTGATACTAAGAGTAGTTTGAAGGACCTTGTTTTTGCTTTTTATTTTCACCTTTTTCTTCTGCAATTTCAAATGTTTCGCTTCTTTGTGTTGACCCCGAAACCAGGTTCTTAGTTTTAGACCCTCATTCAGCAGCATCCTGACTGTCTTCGACCCTCACAGTAAACAAACGTTATCATGAACATGTGAGCATGTTATTGTGTTGAAGGTGGAGGTTCTGCTTCACCAGCGAGGATTCTCAGTAGGAGTTGCAAAATGTAAAAAAACCCAAAAAAACTTATAAAGAGATGTGCTGCCTTTATATGTTTGAATGTTTTTGTTGTCATGGTGACAGTAGTCCATACTGTACACTCCTTCAAACAGCTGCTAGAACTATTCTTTATAAGGTAGCATCACTTTTCTTTAAACCTGCTGCATTATGGGTATTATGTGCTATACTAACTATTCATGTACTGCTGCGTATACACTGTGTTTTGTTTGCTCTTGTTTTTTTTATGTCTTTGGCTTTTATCTGCTCTTTTTAAATACTTTTTTATATTTTATCTGTGGCTCAGTGGTAGAGTCGGACGTTGTTAAAAAGTCTATTTCACCAAATATCTTGGTGTTCTGGCGTACCAGACGTATTTATTTGAGCCCCGTGTAGTGTGCACGGACAGTTAAAGTGTAACATGACCTTTATCTCCTCCACAGGGGGTGAATTCCCCTCAGGGAGAAACGGGATCTTCCATCACCTAAGAATCAATACGATTCTTATGTTACAGTGATTCCAAATGCAGCAATGACCTTTGACCTCTTACCATTACATGTCACCATAAGCATGCTGTCATGTCGGTGTAGTGTTCCTCCTCGGGACTCGTCACAACCTCGAGACGGTCTCATGTCTGCTGAGCACTTTCTATGTTTCACTGCTCATTTAGCTTTTAAAAAAATGCAGCAGGATTGAACACACGCCTCCTGAAACACAGGATTCTGTGTGTTGAGTTTGTTGTCTCATAGAGTTTCTTAGCAATGGAGGGAACTTGCTAAAGGGTGTCTAAATTGATGTCTTTGTATTGATCCAGTGTGAGACCACGAGGACGTTTAATGGGACTTCCCCTCCCCTGGTTACAGCCCAGCTCCCCCAGATGCTGTCTCAGCCGCCCAAACAGTCGATTGACAGATGTCACTGTCCAGCTGAAAAGGTACAATCAATTCCCCCCCAACAAGGGCCTCTAATTGAGTAAGTGCAATGTCTATTACAACTGAACCTGCACTGATTTACACCACATGTTCTCGATCCTTTATAGCCACTGAACTGCACTTTAAAGGACATTTATAACAACAAGTATTTTCTTGTGTTGTCAACCAACAACAGTGCAGCTTTTTAAAACTATTAGTACACACAGGTGTAACTCTCTCACACTGCCCAGGAATGGTAAAACACCTGAACACTTCTCTAAATGTGTGAAAATGCAAAGTGATCGTCTCAATTTGAAATATTAATGTAGGATTGAAGTGCAAATTGAGACCAGAAAGCCACCAGACCTCTTTGAAGAGAGTTGACGGTACAGCTCCCAGGTGAAGTCAAATTCCTCGATATGCAATGTATGAATTTTAATATTTTCCTGCGAGTTAAGAACAGAAGCAGCCTTTAATACATTCACATTAACATTTTAAGGTCACAGATTCCAACAGAGAGTTACCATACCTTTGAGACTCAGCTACTTTTATCAGTATAAAACTCGATAGTTTGATGGACAGATTGATAACTAGAGATGTAGATGGATATAAGGTACACTTTCTAGAGGTGTCATATCATTTCTAGAGAGGGTACACAAAGTCAGACAAGTAAAAGATAGAGAATCAGCTTTATAGGGCTCAACAGTGGACTTTCAGAGGTAAAAATCCCATTCATTTTCTCGATAGCCGATTTGATTATAAGCCATGATGTCATAAACGTCTTAGGTAGACTTACCACGAGCGACCTGTGTGTGAAACGATGGTTTATGCTCCTGCACGACATCAACAGTCATTTTAAGAAAAACTTATTGGTTAAAGGAACTACACTTCCCATGATCCTAGAGTGTCACAGCGACGTCTCTGATTGGTGGAGCTTGCTGTTACCATGGCAATGTTTCCCTCCCCTCCTAGATAGATAGATACTTTATTGATCCTGAGGGAAATTCAAATTCAGGCTGGCTAGTTAGTTAGCTAACAGGAAATGCACTTATTACCTTGTTATGCTGCAGTGAATGAAGTTTATATTTTCAACAACACAAATTACAAGAAAGTACAACACTCACATTAACAGTACAAAAACGTTAAACAAAACTTTTTTCAATGTTAAGAAGAAGCAGTATAATTTTCAATGGATTGTGGGATTGTAGTTCCTGGACTCAGGAACGTAAATCATATGTTATCTTTAAGAGTTTTTCTTCATGGTGACCATAAGCATACAAAGGGCGGCGTGCAGAAGAGCTGAAAAAGAGAAAAGAAGATGAGGTTGAAGAGACGGGAGGTGTAGTTTATGGACGGTTGTTAGTCCGTGTTGACAGCACTTGTAAATATCCGTGTCATTTTGATTGAAGCTGAGGTTATTGTTGAGTGTAATGCCAAAGTGTCTGAAAGATTTAACCCCCTCTTCCTCTTTCCCTGTTGATGAAAAGACTGGGGGCCTAGAAAAAAAAGCTTTTTTAGATTTACATATCAGGCTAAAATAACAATAATTTAAATATTTAACCTCTTAAGTCACATGTTTGTCCACTGTAAAGTCACTGTCACTGCTTGAATTCACTGTTTGATAATTATTTTCTTAGTAAAATATGCGACTTGTAGATCCTAATGCAAAAAATAAAAATGCTGTGCAATATTATCAAATAAACATTATTGCACATTTAATTAAGTGTGTGAAATTGTCCATTTTACTGCCGAATGGTAAATACTATAGGCGGCATTAACATGGCTTTGATACTGAATATGAAGGAAAGTGCCAACAATCCTCCAGGGGCTCGTCGAGTGGGAACCCTCCAGGCTGTGTATAAAGGAAGATAATTACAGCAGTGAATTCATCATTTGTTCACAGGATTTATGATTCCCAACGATCATTTAGACAAACTTAACAAGACAGCATAAGATTGTACTTTTACAAAGGACTGCGCCCCCTATAGGTGGGACTGAGGGTCAAAACTTTGAAACTGAAACGCGGCCGCCTTCAGTAGAAGCAACAATGAAAATGGGAGAATACAGACAAATATCTACTAAAATTAAGGACATTTTGAGTCTATGAAGAGAACCACAGTTTACTAAAGACACAGTGTGACACACTTCAGATCTGCTGAAATGTAAGGTCTTCATTTTCCCTGAAACAAAAAGATAAAAACCAGAGCAGGGAGAAAGGAGTGGAGGGTGCGTGCAGATTATGTTCATCAGTAGCTGAATGCATGAGGCGCTGTATAGCCTCGGTTTATGTCATGCGTCTATAGTCCTTATCTCAGCAGCTGTAGGTTTGAATCCGACCAAGACCCTTTTCTGCATGTAGTCCCCCTCTCTCTCCTCCCAACATTCCTGTCTCTCTTCAGCTGTCGTAACAAATAAAGACAAAAATGGCCCAAAGAAATTACACATTTAAAATGAACTAAATGCACAGAGGTCTGGGGATATGATGAATTCAGTATGTATGAGCTACTGTAACTTCAGAGCTCCATCAGGTTACCAATCCAAACGTCAGCTGACGGTCTACTGTATACTGCTAATGGAGAACATGGTCAAGAAGTCCTAACTGAAAAGACAGAATCCGTTCAGCTGACTCTTACAAGCCGTAAGACTCATTTTTAGAGACTTGCCTTTTTAGCCGACAGATCATTTTATCAGAGCTCCAGTGTGCAGATTTGAACTCTCCTGTTTTATAGTTTTTACCTTTCATTTGTTTTTTGATTTATTGCTCTTTATGTCTCTGTAATTGCGATTGTCGTTTTTTAAATTTCTTCTATAAAGCACCCGAAACATAAAACCTTTTTACAAGCTTCCTTAGAAACAGAGGGAACTTTAAAGAGAGTCTTATCTGAGTGAATAAATTGGTGTGTTTTAAGGAACAGAAAGTTGTTGAAGACAGTCGGGATAATTAACATTTATGCATTTGAAAATAAATTGAAACCAGTGAAATTACTAGCTGCCAATTTAGCTTTTGTTCTGCTCCCTTAAAGCATCAGAATCTAAAAGATAGAGAAACTCGTCTCCCTTCTAATCCGTTCTGCATTTTAGCAATGTGAGGGCTCAGTCTTAAAGTAACCAAACAACCCCAGATCAAGAAGTGACTCACACACATCTGCGTCCCCGTGTAGACTTTACAATAAAAAAAAAAACCCAAGAGGTTAAAATCAGGATCAAGGATCATAAATGTCCAGGATTTATGCAGATGACGTACAATGAATGTGCATGATAAAAAAGACATCCGACAGCGAGAGTCACTTTTTCAGCTTTGGCTTCATAAAACCTTTTAATCTCACTGATGTGTTTCTGTGCTCAGGGAGAAGCTGGTCTTCCAGGTGTGATGGGACAGCAAGGGGATAAAGGAGACAAGGTGCGGACAACTCTTTTTATGCTGTTGATATATGTATGTGTTTGTTCTTAGGTGTTTACTTAACAGGACGCTAACAGGGGTTAAGAGATGCAACTACTCACCGAGCGTCGAACATAAAGAAGAGGAATGTATTTAATCAAAGAGAGTATTATCACAGGGACACTGGGCTTTGTCATGTGTAGAAACGACCAAACTTTTGTAGGTGTGTGATGATCTCTCCCGCCTCTGGGAGTCAGTTTTGTGGCTTGAAGACTCGCAGTGTCTAAATAACAAAGAAAAGCGAGCCTTGTACCTGAAGGACACATTTGTACTTTGTCATGAATTCATTGTCAGAAGAAGATGAAAACATCCCTCACGGAAACAAATGCTCCAGTGTTTGACAAAGTTTGTTGTGTTCCATCAGTCAAGGCTTTTTTCAGAAATGAAGCCTTACAATTACCTTCACACGGCAAATTTTCTCTCAAATCTTCTGAGACGTGCGAATTGGGAAATCACACATTTGTCCAATCACTAGAAAAATAGTAATCTCAAAGAGGGAAGAATCCTTTTTTCTCCATGACAGCTCAGTAGACAGGTGCGATTGTAAACAGTAGATGCCAACTGACTGAAAATTGTGGGTGTCGTGTTGATTGGTTGGACAGCAAAAAAAAAAAAAAGAAAACATGAAAAGAATGGCTTCATACCCGCACATCAACAACGTGTTGTTTCTCATAACACAGATCACTTCTTTTAGGAGTATGAATCCCCCTCTGGCAGTCTCTGTAAGGGTTAAAAAAAAGAACCAAAAGAGAGTGTGTTGTGCTGTGAGTGGAATTTTTTGGGATGAACAGGTGGTGGTCCTGCACGCCTGATAAGAGCAGATGGCTTTTGGGGTCAGTGTCCTAATTACCATGATGTAGCGGGATTAAGAAATATACGAGGACTAGGACTGTAAGACTTTTGTTCCAGGAAAACCATTTATTCCTGGAAGGCCGGGATACATAACCGTGTAAAATCATTATACCTGTAGAACCCAGACTTTTTAGCATCTACATGATGTGTGTTTTTCACTGTTGGTGGCATTTTCTCTTTAATGCTATTTATCCAAGCAGAAAGATGAAGCTATTGGGAAGTGAGATGACCTGCCGTGCCTCTCTTATCAAGAAATCCTGGAGTGTTCTGCCTGTCTCTGACTAATAATGACTCAAAATAAGCCAAAAAGTCAGTTGAAGGCTTTATATGCGATTTTTTGATCCAGCAGATGTCGCCCTTGAGCACCAGCATGAAACCAAAACAACTTGCTAACGCTAGCGATCTTTATTATGCTCGTATCTTCACACTGCATGTAAATTTGCCTGAATCTAGAAATCTAGAGTGATCTAGAAACACAGTTAAACAGTGAGTACAGTATGTTATTCTTCTTTTCTCTAGTCCCTCAATTAAACAACTTTTATACACGAGGGAAGGAGTCAGCCGGCCGTCCCAACGATGTAAACAAACTGAAGATAGGACTCTGAAAACTCTGAAAACATCACAGACAGTGGGACTCGGGTGTTACACCCATTGTAGACAGTCATGACTCACAGAGTTATTTTCAGAGGATAAACTGGATTTCTATTATATTTAAGTGTGAGAAATCACATATAAAGACTTTAAGTTGCTGACATGTTCTCTGTGTTGTTCTCCGATTTGCGGACGCAGACTCGACCAGGCGCCCCTTTCTTTCTTTTTTTGAGTCTGCCTGTCTTGTTAGCTTAGCACGCTTCATGACCATGTAAAGCCATACATGTGTTGTAATACGACGTTATGTACAAGAGGTCAACGTGCTCAGGCCCGGTTAGTCCTGGAGCAGTGTGAGTGCAGGCCAGCAGGGGGAATGGGAAAGTGGGCAACTGGGCCAGTCTGAAATCCTTGTATATAAAAAAGTGGTTTGTAGGAACCGAGTAGCTGCATTTTGTTATACAGGAATCTAAATTATTAAATAAAACGCTATGGGTGTGTATAGCAACAGATTGTGCTAATCAGACTTGTAAATGCGTTATAATTGGCCTCTAACGACTCTTAATTGTTGGGGCAGGGATTAGCTCTCGAGCTCTAATGTGTCCGTGTATGTGCACTTTGAGCGTGCTGGTGATTAATTACTTGCTGCTAATTGATACAACTTCTTTAAGAGGGTGAGAATGCAGACGATTGTGTATTCACAAAAGACAGCATGCAGGCATTGCGTTTTACCGTTTGCATGTACTGTAGATAGTTTGTTTTGAACTCAAGGCTTTGACTTCAGATAAAACGTCCCTTAGTTCACATTTATGATGTGCAAACATGTTCAGGATGTACTGAGTAGATCACTGAGCTGTTATGTCACAATACTCGACAATGATTCAAACCTGAATATCAGGCACACACGTCTCCTCCCCCCCCCGGTCTAATATTTCTGCAGGACATTTCTTGTGCCATGAGTCAGTGGCTCGTACTGTTATCACCTGAAATCTAATTTCAGCTCTTCAACAAATCAATACTTGGCACCATTTGTTTACTTACTGAACAACAAAATTCATAACAAATCCTATTACAGGCTCGAGCAGTAAATCAATGAAGTTAAAGAAAACTTGATCAGGGAGTTCACATTCGAGGCTGAGCACCCTGATTCAGTGGTAGTGAAGGGGCACGATGAGCTAACAGCTGCCTCAGGTTGGCCTTTTAAATGAATGAGGATGCTGGACCTTTTGCTGCACTTTGAATTAATAGCATGTATTGTTTGATTCATGGGCATAGATCCTAAAAGATAATGGAACAAAGGATTAAGATGATTTTATTAACTCAATTATATTTACCAAAACAATACAATGCATGTTTCTATGCAGACTTCTGAAAGAATTCTGTGGCATATATCCACCTTAATGGTTTCTTACAGCTGCAGATTATCAATCAATCGATCAATCACTCAAACTTTATTTATATAGCACCTTTCAGACAAATTAAAGTGCATAACAAGAGTGCAGAAAAGTTATTGACGAAAAAGCAGTTTGTAAAATCATTGAGCACACCAATAAGAATTAAAAAATATGTATAAAAATGAAAAAAAAAAAATATGACACATTAAAGCAATAAGATATTAAAATTAATGCATAGAAGAATATTTAAAACTATACCTGCACAGCCAAGTGGCTGGAGCTGAATACTCCGGAGAATATGCTGCGGCGTTCTCACGTCAGCCCACTCGGACTTGCTGCAGAAAATATAATAGGGGTCTGGGAGGAGAAACTCCGGGTGAAGTCCGAGTGAAATTCACATATACAGCCACTCAGGGTAATCTCCTAAATTTTTCATTTTTATGTGTGAAAAGGGTATTAGTGATTCGGTCTATCCACTCGTAGCATTGATGTAAAGTCAAATATTCTCATTATAGCATCGTATAGCGGAATTTGTTGCTTCATCCGCTACTTTCCTGTCTCTTTTTTTACTATACGCCTTACCGCATGACCCCCTGTCCCCCCCTCCCGTCTGACAGGGATAGTGAACAGCCAGGTCAGGAGAATCCCCAGAGCTGTCCTCCTGAAATTATCTAGATATTTTCAGGAGTGTAGATGTGACAACAACTTTAGAAATGTCTTTGCCTTTAAACAAACTTGTTTCATCATTAAGCCTTTGTCATATTGTCAACAAAGTTTATTTTTCTGTCAGTCAAAATGAAGAAGTAACATTTATCTTTTGACGTACTGTAGAAAAATATCATCTTGGTTTTCCATTAGGGTATATTTGATTTATTAGTGCAGACACAGCTCATATGATATGTTGTCAAAGCAGTGAATGCAGTATGCCTCTCTCTCTCTCTCTCTCTCTCTCTCTCTCTCTCTCTCTCTCTCTTTGAATGAGCAGCAGATACCTGAAGACAACTAAACGTCATTGATCATCCAAGATAAATGTTTCACATGTCTTGTTGGGTTTGCAAATATCACAAGCCAGAAGCACTGTGAGAGAAAACCCCAAATGTATTTGATTCAGAGCCTTCTGTGCAGTATATTGTAAACGTCTCTTTGACACAATCATATGAAGTAATTGCTTTTATCTCGTTCACTCTGACCTTATTGCACATTAATCCGTCCGGTAAATTATGGCAGCAGCGCGCTTCTCTTAAAGCATATTTAATTCATATTGATCCCTTAATGTGGGGAGGTTCCAGCAACCGTGAGACTGTGCTGCGTCCTTTCAGATTTACATTATAATACATTAAAAAGGGGGGCTTACAAAGTCAGAGCAGAGCCTGTTAATAAGGTGCGCTTATGAGACTTTCAATTACCAACATTAGAATCTCAATCTGTGTAAGATTAAAAGCGGTCCGAGTATACCTTTTAACCATTTAGCTCGACTTTGTAGAGATTAATCAAAGACATCGGGGCAATTAGGAGCATTTAAAACAGCCGTAATGAGAAGAGCAAGGCCAGTCGCTATGACCTAGAGACGAGCGTTTCTTGGGGAAGTGTGTGTGGATTACTTGGGCTGCGTTGCTCCAACAGACAGGACTATACCCGGTTTGACGGAGGATTCTAATGCCGTGCAAAGGGATTAAACTGCTATGATTAATCCAGAATCCCTCAGGAAATTAAACAGATAAGGATTGGGTTATAAGAATGCAGCTTACTTGAAAGGAAATCCATTTTCTATGGCCTCGCACATAAAACCCTGGTGTTACCAGATTTACGGCTCCGGCATGTACATGCAAAAGAGGTAAAAGAAAAGCACCGACATAATGGTGAAATTAAACTTCTCCCCCGTTTACAACACCCTTCATTTGTTTTTTACAACCCTCCTGTTCTCATGGCTTGTGTTTTCAATTAGCACCTTAATTCAATTTGAACTGATTGTACCTCCAAAGTGAAGAGTTTTTTTCAACTCAGTTTATTATTACACTTCATTTTTATTAGCTCCCAAGAACCTGCTATTGTTCCAGTTATGTTCATGAGGGTTTGAAATAGTATTAGCTTTTGTAAAAGGGGAACTGTCAATTGATTAATTACAGTTTTTAAATGAAGACTAAACTTAAAAATATGTATGAATATGTACATTGGACAGCTGTGGATCAGTGGGGTTCGATCTCCAACTCCTGTGGACACTTTATCGGGACATGTGAATTAAAAAATAATTTATCACAATGGCTAACATGGAAATGTGACTTGACAGAAAGACTTTGGCGCTCGGACTCTATGGGATGGTTGATGTGTTTGGAGAATGTCAATTCTGAGCGTCACCAGAATAAATCCCCCCCCCATAGAGTCCAGACATTGGTGTGGTGGTGAAGCTGATGACTTGTTGAGACCGGATGGGTGAAGAATTGATGGGCGATGATTCTGAGAAGACGGGCAGTGATGGGGAGGTGAACAGGTGTACAAAAAAATCAGCATGAAGGATCTAAAGGCGGAGAGAGAATCATATTTAAAAGAGGATCAGAACGATGATAGTCTAACAATCAGGGAGAGATGGTTGCAATTGGTTAGATGAGTACCGCTGACGAGACAGCTGATTACCCAATGACAGCCCCAGAACATGACAGCTTGAAAGGGTTGTATGAAAAATAGACCCAACCATGAAGGCAAATATATAGTCTTACTGACTAAACTTTCACTAGAGCTTCATTTGGTGTCCTGTTTCGGTGACGTTATCGCTCGCTGTACATTATAGGAAGACAACTTTTGAATCTATCACCATTTGTCGTCATTTCTTGCCACATGTTTAAAATATAGCCAAATATGTACAATATATTTAACAATCAGATTCTCAGTACATATGAGAGATTATATGGAAATGTTTCCTCGAATAAAGGGTTCAATGATGAGTTCATAGCCCACAGAAAAGAGATCTCAGTTTCTCTGTTTGGCTTTTTTTTTTTTTTTTTGTTCCTCCTAAACAAGCCCATTGAGTTCTTACAAACAGAGATTGTAATGAAGATGTGACCATAAATGGGCACTGTGGTTAATTGGATTTTTAGCTTGGAGCAAGTTGAGTGTTAGCTTAATTGTCGAAACACTATCTCTCTTCATCTTCTGTGTCTTTACATCAATTTGGAAAATCGCTTTCTTCTACTTTCCTTTCCCCATCCTCCTCTGTAACGCCGTTTCTCTCACAGAGGCGAGCTCTTCTTCATCTCTTGCCCTTTCCCCGCTGCCCTCCTTTTTTTAAAATAACACCATTATTCAAATAATTCAGTGATTTTTTTTTTTTTAAGAAGAGTCAGATGTGTGCTTTCCAGTTGTTGGGAAATTGTACCCCAAGCTGCAGCTGCTGAGCGTCTGTGTCAGCAAGAACTCGTGGAACAGCTGTAGCTGCAACACGGCCGATGAAATGACGAGCCTTCATAAAGCCATTCACTAATGTGCGAACGAGAGACCTTTCACTAACTGTTCTCTGTGTTGTGTCCGTCACAGGGGGACTCGGGGGAGGTCGGCCTTCAAGGAGATCCAGGACACAAGGTAGGCCACTTGCTGATAAAACAGTTATCGTGTTGCTCTGCACTTAAAGCTGGATTGAAAAACTGTGATTTACATCAGTCAGAAATTTAAAGGGTTTTTGAATTACTGAGTTTTGTTTTTGATTCAAATATATTTGAACTTTTACTACATGATTTTGACATCTGGCCGAGGAAGCAGGTGGAACTTTTAGTTGTATGTGATTTATGAAATCTGCCACTGCCCCTCTCTGAGATAGATTTTCTAACATCCCTGGATTGAATCACTGACACGCTTTGTGTTGACCCCAACACAGCAACACAGAAAACAAAGCAATCTCAAAATCAAATCAAACCAGCAAGTGAGCGCATGTTTGGCACTGGGTGAATGGCGCTGCTGGCGCTGCTGCTGCTGCAGAGACACAAGTCCAGTCCCGAGCAGCGGTGCCCCTTGTTTGGCCATGTGCCCCCGTTGGGCGCCGTTGGAAGTATTCATTGGTCGGAAGCCAGTGAGGGGATCATGTCCTTGTCACTGCTCAAGCAACTCTTACTAGATGCTGGGGCTGTCTGTGCAGGAGGGGGGGGTGGGTTGTGAGTGTCGCAGTTATGTCCTGTTGGCTACTCTCTCGCTGTTGGGTGAAAAACAAATGGCTAACATAGCTGGATGCGTATTTGTGGTAACATGTAACCAACCGCTCCAGACCTGATCAGTTGGCGGCTCGTGGGCTGAATTTGGCCCTTTAACAACCTCAGTCAGAATCTTAAGTCATTAAAAGATACACATATGTTAACTTTTTTTTACAATGATAATAGAAGTCTTCCAATAAAAGCCACCTTTAAGAATGTTATTTTGCAGTAAAGAGCGTGCAAAGGTGTAGATTATGAAAGACCATCATAGTAGGAATTTTTAAATCCTTCCATCCATCATGTCTGTTTTTATGAAGAGAAATGAATATGGGTCATTGGTTTGTTCTCGGTGGATGAAGCAGGCGCCTCATGTTTTTAAAAGAAATCTGGTCTTTCTTAAAAATAGTAACTGAATAGAGCTGGTCTACACCAAGCGGCAAAAAGACAGTCTTGAAAAATGAAGCCAATGCAGTACCTCGAGTGTCCACTTGAGGCTGACTCCAGGAACACTGGAAGTCACATACAGCCAAAAAAGCCGTTTTTACAGCATAAATGAACATGTTTACAGCCTGGTATAAAATCGAAATAGGTCTGATTAGTTAGTGTCATCACGGGCACACACTGTACGAGGGGTGAATTTAAAGAAAAACGGCTCAGTTTTGATTTTGTAAACGATACATGTTATCCATAGTTAGGCGCGTAGTTGACATGATTGACAGGTAGGCGTGATGTACAGGTTCCTCAGCTCCAGCTCTCAGTCTGTCGTTAGGTTGAGTGAAAGTTAGACTGAGACAGGATTTCCAACATGGCGGCTGCTGCCGATGAGCCTCCAGAGCCCCCTGCAGGAACAGAAGACTGACGTGACTTAGGCTAAACCATTAATATTTACAGTCTATTCATCCAAGAGAGGGACAGAAATTGCTTTGGAGTCAGACATTTAAATTGGGAGACAAATGCATATTCCTGTAAAGGGAGCTTTAAGAGTGCCTAAGTGCTCGTCTTGTTGTTATGGTCAGAAGAGAAAATTGCCTTTTTTATGTTCTTTTACCGGATAACTGTGTTGCTTTTTGTTTTCTGTGATATTGTCATTGGTAAGATTGTAGACCATCATATGTGACATTTTGGATCTCGTCCTAATCTCCTTCGGGGGGGGGGCGGGTTGTCAAGTCACCAGAAACCACCACTTACTGTGAAGGCTGTAGTTGTGAGTTGCGTTTCCATGCCTTAAAGTGAGAAAGTGTTTTCATGTACTCGAAAGAGAAGTGGTTTGGATACTGTTCTCAGAAATATGAAGAAAATACAGAGGCAATGAGAAATCCAATCCTCCTGATACTTCATTGCATTCAAGTGATCCGTTATGTGCCATGTGGATCACTGTGGAGGCAGTAAATAGGATCATTCCTGGATGTGGAAGATGGCTTAATCCTGGACCTATATCCACTGAAGATGTTAAGCTTACTGCGGGATGACATATCTGCAGATGAAACTCCATACATGGAATATGAAATAACACTTAATGGCAAAAGCTCCATCCACTTGTGATATCTGAGTGGGGGTTCAAGAGCCGGCTAGAGCTGCTCCGTTACACAATGCTGCACAGGAGAAGTGAGCAGTAGAAGAAGTATTGATATTCATTCTAATGCACAAAACATGTCTGGTATTATTTCATCTGCAGATTGTCAATTTGTTGTCCGTAAAGCTTTTTCTGTTGCATGTGTTGTGCATCAGTGTGTGTGTGCGTGTGGCGACTTGGGTTGGGAACCGGAACATCCTACCAAAACATGGAAGTTGGTCTGGTAGTTGGAGAGGTGCCAGGTCTCTTCCTGAATATTGCCGAGGTGCCCTTGAACAGCCCCCCCAACATCTCTGACACGCTCCCCACTAATTCCACTCCACTAATGCATGTCCACAGGTCCTGTTTGTGCATGTGTGTGTTTTTCGGGCCTATGTGTGAAAAGCATGTGAGGGTAAAGACCAGAATTTCCCTCAGGGATTAATAAGGGTTTTTAAAATAAAATAAAAAGAACGATAGATCCTGATATCTGGCCCCTTAAAAAGGTCAAGTGCAGGTCTTAATTTATTGCAATTTGGTGTCAGTTTCACCTGTTTTCACGCCTCATCTCTTAACTTCTTTACACTACTATCTGACATTACCCCGCTGTCTTAGGCTTCCTCTAATATTCCCTTTCAACTGCTTCTTTGGCCAGGTAACTTCTGTTCACGTTCTCACTTTCATAAGGGCAGCTGTGAGGAGTCATGTGGTGATGCAGGGAGTCGAACTGTCAGGAAAATCTGTTATTTTATTTCAAATATGGCACCATATTAATATATTTTTTTTACACGGGTCAGGAAAACTATATATTGCAGTATTGATATTTTATCCCAACAATTGCTTGTATTTCTTACTTCTGTAGACATATACCCACATGTGCTTTGTACAGATACATGTCTCAGACTCGTCTGGATGCCATACTGTGAGAACAACAATTTCACGCAGCTGTCTGTCCTGTAAGAGTGATGATATGGTTGACCTTGTCCCCTATAATGTGACAGTTTGCTCAAGCTTTACGGGGCCTAGCTGAGGTCATGAGACTGTATAAGTTACACCCTTATAACAGAGCCAATACGTTCCAAGACATCTCACACACATTTTCTGGCCGGGTGTGTGGAAAGCAAAGGGCTGGGTCGCTGGAGAAGAATCAGTGATCAGGATGATATTTGTGGAAAATAAATAAGCTCCAAACAGCTTATTCCCTGACTATGTATAATCTTACACACACTATAGACTTTGCAGAAGCTTAGATTAAGCATCCAGCTATCTGGGTAAACAATATTGCTCAGAGTTTTGGTATCTGGTTCCCAAATGTGTTTTTGTATCAGCGTTAATGTAATGCAAGTGTTTTGCTCCTTTGAAAGCTCAGATTTGAATGAAGCTGTGTGCAAATGTTAGCGGGTGTAGGAGTCGATGACGCCATGGTGGCATCTGTGTTGGTGATTGTCTCAGACACATTCCTGCAGTTGTGTGATCGGCTGTGTTACTCAGATTTGCACGTTTATAAGGATTCATGTTTTTCTACTGTAACATTTGAGTGAGGGCTGCGATTGAATCACTCTCAATATATACCTTCTTTTGAAAAGTTTTAATTCAGCCAAACCTCTCCCAACCAGTGCAGCATATAATCATTAGTAAAGAAAACCAGTATAAAGAGGTACAATGCAGCACTGCACCATCAGTGGATGATCACTAAAAACACGACCTTGTCTTTTTTAAACGTTCTGTTTTTGCTTTTTTTAGTTGAATTGCTTCTGTGTTACAAAGAGAAAACCTTTTTTTGTTGTCTGTCAGCCACCATTCAAACTGGCTTTGTGCAATCATAAACATCATACAAAATTTCAAATGTGCCACTATCTGGCGGGAGTATGTTTTTTATTATTATTTATTTTAGAATTTTGACAGAAACAATATTACAGAGCATTTTCATAGAAAAACAATGAAGTTTCTTTTGCAGTTCTCAGCTTTTTAAATATAAACATAAAGAGCTAAATACAGTGTGTGTTCAAAATGAATTAAAAAATATTAGAAAGAATTACTAGAGAGAGAGAAAAAATAGGCAAATAAGCAAATAAAAGATTGAGCTAAATTAAATGAGGTTTGCTAAAACAAGACAACATCACAAGATCACCTCCGCAAAATCTGTCTGCAAAGTTTAATGGACATTTTTTTAAAGATGATTTTGACTAAAAATTAGAAAAATCCACATGCTAGGTATCGAGTTTTTACAGTTTGTTAAATAACCCCTGCAGCCCTTCTGAGTACCCTAAGGTGTCCAAGCAGTCCCCTTTAAAAATCACTACCTTAACCTATTCAATAAGTAAAACACTCTACACAACAACCTTTTACACTGATAGCATTTCTCCTTTTTCTAGTTTTGGATCTTCAACACTAAACAAAAAATGTAATAAAAAATAATTGAGACCAAGTTGGTGTCAAAGTGAAAAAAAAAAAAAAAAAAAAAGACAGATGAAAGTACGAACTTTTCAAGAGTCCGTTCTTCACCTTTTAACTTTCCATCTTGTGATTGCAGGGGGAACTTGGATCAGAAGGGCAAAGGGGGATCGATGGGGAGAAGGTAAGTAGTACTATCTCCAGCAGACATATATTCCATACATGGCACATCAGCCAGATCTCGTTTCGTCAGGGAATCAATTCTTATAGGCTTTTCATTTTCTGTGAGATGCCCTGGGGGTTGGGGGAGGGGGGGGGGGGGGTTGGGCCGAAGAGCGTTTTTTTCTGTGTGGCTGTTTGTAGGTGGCTGTCATATCTGAAGAAGATCTAAGTGTGTTCCAGCCCGCAGTGTCCTTCTGCAGTGAAAATAATTGATATGTATGCTACCATAGGCTCGGCATACTAATGGACTAAAACTAATTTCTCAAATTACTGTAAAGCCCTTCTAATGTCATTCCAGGTCGAACTTTATTGCATGCTTTTAAATCCGGCTGCAGTGATGAAACTAATGTACATCATGCATAAAGAAGCACTGGCAGATGAGCGTTCTTGCAGAAGCATTAGAAATGAATTCCCTTCCTCTCACCGTGTTAGCGAAGTTGTTTTAACCACGGGGGAAACCACGTTCCTCTTAAAGTGTTAAATCAAAGGCTGCTTTATGTTGTGCTGCATTTTGTTTGCCCTCAATGGGACAGTCTCAGTAGATGTTAGCTGTGCAGATGGTCAGTTAAAAAAGTGGCCAATAAAGGGACTCCTTTTCATCACCATCAGCCCTCTGAGCAGACAAACAGCTGCCGCAGAAATCAACCTCTCTGCAGGCTCTGGACCTACACTTTGCTATAACGGGGGCTCGGGGGAGAAATCAGTAAAGAAAACAAGGAAACATGAAAAGAGTATTGAGCTTCTGCTGTATTCAGTGGCGGTTCTAGACCACTTTTACTGAGGGGGTCAAACTAGGGCCAGTTTTTTTGTCAGAGGGGAACATTAAACCCAGGTGAAAAATAGACAAAGATGATCGCTTTAAAAATATATATATTTACGCCAAATAATAGCACAATTCATTAAATACAATGATTTAAATTTGTTTCAGTAACAGTATTTAATACTAGATTGTGAGTCCGGTTGTTGAGTCAAATACTGTGTATGTGTTATTAGGGGGGCTCTTCCTTTTGGAGGGGTGGCCACAGGGAGGACCAAGCTCAGTGTTACAGGGGCACTGTTGGCCCCTGTTGGCCCCTGCCTAGAACTGTCCATGCTCGAAGTAGAAGTATCTCAAACTATTTAGCACATGCAGAGGGTTTGCTCTTTGAAAACTCTCTCAAAGAATAGGGGCAAAAGTAGGACGGGTTTCATTAGAGGTTAATGAGCTCTTTTTAATGCTTGGTTGTTTTGATGTCTACATTAAATTATATAGGACGATGAAGTTTGTCCTTTGTTGACCTATGTGAGAGAGGAAGAAGGGGATTAAAAACTATAAAATGTAATAGATGTCCTTTTTGCAATTTTAAGTATTTCATGAAGATATTGAGTTGTGTAGGTTTTGAGTTTTATGATTGTAAAACACACGTTCGTTTGAAAGAGTTTGATTTTAGATAACAACCCTATCAGAATGTAAAGCAGTAATATTATATTTGTACACATTTTGCAACAGCAGCATTACTTAAGCTAATAGTTAATGGTGCAGCTTTTTGTGACTTCAAGGTGGAAGAAGAAGCTTATGATGTTTTAGGAAAAATATCCTGAAACTTTCTGGGTGAGCGCAAACAGCAGAACTTTCCACTCAGATTTTACTCTGTCTCTTCCTGTCAGCCCCTTTAGTAAATATACTGCGTGAAGTCATCGTGAGCCGATGTGTGAATGCAGAAGGAACTATTCAGGAAAGTTCACAGTGAGTGAGCAGACGGGGATGATGACTTTTTTTTAAATCTTGTGACTGGTGCCAACCGTGCGATGGTGGTCCACATGAAGAAGCTGCCTCTTTCTCTGCTTGCCAATGTTCTTTTCATTCATTCATTGATACTGCGAATGACTTCAATAACATTTCTATGAAGGCAAAAAACTTTCCTTTTATGGTCGGACTCTGTCTCTCTTTCTGTCCCTGCGGTTTCCATCTTTGGTGAAACCGACTAACCTTACTGAAAAAGTAACTATTGAAAAACTGATTTCAAAATAAAAGGAACCAAAAGGAAAAGTTTGAGTGCAGTCCAGTCATCATTCGGGTAGAAAAATCAATCCTTTCAAGTTGGGATTCTGCTCCTGTCAGAAAGGGAAACTTCCATCTGTGAGGAAGAGTTGTGAATATGAAACATAGAAAGATGTCTGTCTGTCAGGTATGCATGTGTGAAAACAACCTAATGTTACAGTAATCTTCATCAATCAGGACTAGAGGAGCTGATGAATTCAGAATAATCAGCTCACACAAAAGTTTCTGTGCTCTGATTGTTCCACATTGATTTCCTCTCTCTGTCGTCAAGTGCCCTCAGTATTTCCCTCATTTACACATAAAAAGATGCCGTGTATAAATGTTATGTGGAATTGGCAGGTTCAAAACTCGAGTGTCAGTCTGTTTTCTCACCACCTCCTTTGCTTGTGTTGTACCAGAGTAAGTAGCAATTGGCAGCTTGAAAAGCCAGTTGACGTCATGCGGACATTTGCATATGAATGACATGATCAAGTTTATTTACATAGAAATCTGAAGGAGTAGCGAGACCACCAAACTGGAAATTAACTCCCACCTCATCCAGGAATGACTGATTTGTTGTCATAATATTATACACAAACTGTGACGGGGGTGTACATAGTTTTTCTTACTTTTCTTTTTTTTTTTCATTGATTGCTACCGGCGCTGCAGCAATCAAGAGGAAGAGAGTGACAGAGCTGAGAGCGAGCGCTTCCTTCTCTGCTCACTGGTTCCCCCCCTTGGCTCCAGCTGACTGGACATTCATGGTCTACAAACTGGAAACAGCTGGGAGCTTGTTCACTGAGACTGTAGAGTTCTCTTTTCCAAGAAAGGCAGCTGCTTTAAACTTTCCAAGAAGCAACCGGTTGATGTCATTTGCTAATTTGCATATCAGTACAGGGAGTCCCACCTTGCTCTATTTGTCACCAAACAAGTGAGCTCGACATTGTGTTCATGGCCGTGAGTAGTTTTACAGATTTGTTGCTTTGGGGAGTTAGCGTCACAAGGGGCTGTCTGAAATGTGTAGTCGCTAAGTTGGCAGCATTAGAGCGAGGGCCTGCTAAGAGGCTGCCACCCTTTGCTTTGTGTGTGTGTGTGTGGAAGGCATTGTGGTATAGTAGTCTGGAAACATTCGGTTACCAGAAAGAAGATTCTCATCAGTATGTCGACGATGTAAGGAGCTGGTTATTTTTGGTCCCTGTATGTTATTGGTTCCTGTATCCGAGACAAATTTCTCCAGAGGGACAAATAAAGAAACATTGACCAAATGGTACAAGTGGTGCTCCTATCTGCTTTTCATGTTAAAGAGGACATATTATCCCCCTCCTCCACCTTTTCAAACAGTCCCCCTGTGGTCTAAATGAAACATCTGTGCTGTGCTTTGGTCAAAATATAACATGAATCAAGCACCAGAGGAGGTTTGTGACCCTGTATAAACCAGCTCTCTCAGAACGCTCCGTTTTGGTGTGTGTGTCTCTTTAAATGTAATGAGCCCCGCCCCCTGAGTTTTTCAGGTAGACATCACTCCTCTGTAGAGAGAATAAAAATGATGGATCTGCGCAAAAGTTTTGTTCTTGGCTGGGGGTGGAGATATCAGGGCAGGAGAGGGGATTTTTTTTATCAGAATCCCACTGTGACATCACAAGGAGAGCAAATTTGAAACAGAGCATTTTTCTCTGTGTTGTAAGACTTATGCAGACCACAAACAAAGGACTGGATGGATTTATTTCACATTTTGTGGGTCAGTAGACACTCAGGTTACCCAGATATATGTTCAAACACACTGTACAAGTGAATATTCCACAATATGTCCCTTTAAGATTCTGCAGGGCTTTCATTAAGCTTCGGCTGTTGGCAAAACAGCTGACCAGTCACTTAATTACAGCCACAGCTATTTCCACCCATGAAAGACTTATTAAATAGTTTTGATCAAAAAGTTGTGGCTCGCTTTCCCGGTACATTTTCTAAGCACTCACCTCCAGTTCACAATTAATAAACAGTGATAAGAGTATTGATAAGTATCTGTACCTTTACACAGTATCAGTATTGATATTTGTGTTGATAAAATCCTAACAACACCCATCCCTGCTCTTGTAGCATCCTCCAGAATGAAGCTTCCAAAATGAAGCCAATATGGAAGTGCAAAAAATGTGGTTATTCGAGTGTCCTCTTGAGGCTCGCTTTAAAAGGCAAGGAATCACCATGAGGTGTCATATTGAAATGTTACAGCAGACATTAACGTTTGGTATCAATTGCTAATTTCTGTAGATTTATTCATGAATTAGCATAGCTAGGGATGAAGCTGAGTGGACTGACGAGTGGCTGGTTGCCTGGAGACCTAAAGCCCGTCTCAGCTCTACCTCTTTGCCGGTTTTTTGATTGATGAAGTTAGGTTGAGATAGTGTTTCCAATATAGTCAGCAGCATCTTTGTGCTTCAAAATGTCTCTTCAGAAAGCAGTGAGGTTACATCTCTGACGCTACGGGACAAAAATCTGTTTTCATAGAAGGGTATCAGGAGAGGAGACTTGTTTTTGATCTCTGTGCATCCCATGTTGGTTGGTCTGGCTTTCCTCGGTCACGCTCACTTGACTCACTATTTCTACCCTCCAGGGATTTATTATATTGTGCCCCAATTCTTTGAGGGATGTGAAAACAAAGGAAAGTTTGAGAGATGGGGACCGCGTTTGTGAAGCATTGCTTCTTGCAGGGCTTGTTTGTCGAGCTTTGAAGACAGCCATTTAGAATAGGAATGGATGGCTCGGGAATGTGTTTAGCCTTGCTTGGCACAAAAACAGACAGTGCAGTTAAATCAAAAGTGAAAGAGATATGTTGCTGTGTTTTGTTTTGCTGGAAATCCTGTAACCAAGACATAGGAGAGTCACCAGAGCTTTCTCTGTATAGTTAACGTGTGTTAAACACCCCAATGGTGTTGTCTTTGTGCTAA